AGCTCACGCATACTCTAACACGGGTGCTAGCCATTCAAATAAGTGAACAACAAAAGGAATTAGAACGAAAGAAACAGAAAATTGCAGTAGAGAAGAATGGTGCAGACGTTGAATTGTTGGAGATCTCTGTTTTTTTGCCTGCATGATAAATGCACAGACAAAATCCTCACCTGTGAAAAAGCAGTCAATTAATTAGGTGTGTAACTTATGCGACAGATATGCGATCAAATTCTGAATAGTCGTAAAATTTCCATGACGATATGGCCCTGCGAAAAAATGGCGCGTGATCGTCAATTAAATTATGCTTGATTCGATTTTGTTATGCGATTCTTCAATATGCGAGGGAAAAAATGTCGCATCATTGTCAATTATCCGGCGGATATATGCGAAAGTTTTTCGCATACCAGTAAATTATGCGATTGACTTGGATATGCAATTTCCAGAAAATGCGAATTCAACAAATAATGCGAATGATATGCGAAACGTTTTCGCACAGTCATAAATTTGCAAGGTCGATATAGCCCTGCGAAATAAGGCGCATAATCATCGTAAAATATGCTGCATTCGATTTTGATATGCGATTCTTAAAACTGCGAAAGATCGTTGGATGTGGATATGTGATTACAAAAATGCGAAATGTTTTCGCATAGTCATAAATTATGCGTCCGCTTAGATATGCGCTGGTTCATTTGGACATGCGACTGTAATATCGCATAACATTTCGTGAGTTTTGGGGTGTAAAAAAAGTTATTTGATGGGACAGTGTGTAAAAGAAAGAATAGATTTATAATGGGGTGAGAAAGATTTTGACCCTACAAAAAAATTGTCACGTCAGTTTTCCATTGACAGATGTTAAATCTATGTATTCAATTGTCAAAAATGTAAATGTCATATATTTATTTGCCAAAATTTAAAGATCGTGATTAAATAGTCAATCAAGTAAGGGTGATGTATTTTCTCGCTGTTAGGCCTTATTGTTATTGTTGTTGGAATATTAAAATATTCAATAAGGGCCAATAAAACAGGGCTCCGTTAAAGAAAAACCCCAAATACCCCCCAAATGATATGATACAACGGCATCTTAAGAACACCATCGCTCGCCTCATACACGCCTCCCATGGCATTCAACTCCTCCATCAAATCCACTCCCAAATCCTAACCTCCCCGAACCTTTCCTCCCACCACCGATCTTTCCTCGTCTCCCGCCTCCTTCTCCAGCTGTCCGCCGCCGCGTCCTCACCGCTCTCCCTCCCTTATGCCGCCAGGATCTTCGCCCTTATCCCCAACCCTTCCCTCTTCGCCTACAATGCCATCATCCGTGCAAGTGCCACAAAGTCAAGCGGCCGCCAGTGCTTCATCCTTTACAGATCCCTGCTCCGTGGGGGCCTGCTACCCGACTCCATTACCCTCCCCTTCGTGCTCAAAGAATGCTCCAAGAGGGCCGATATGTCCTCGGGCCGCGCCCTCCACGCCCACTCCTTCGGCCTCGGATACGAATCCAATGTCTACGTTCAGAATTCTCTGATAGCCCTGTATGCGGATTGTGGGGTTGTGGAAGATGCGCGCAAAGTGTTTGATGAAATGCCCCATACAGATGTGGTTTCTTGGAATTCAATTATTATCAGCTTTTTGAGAGGCGGGGAGCTTGACTCGGCTGTGGAACTGTTTCGAGAGATGGAAGGTAAGAACATCATCACCTGGAACTCCGTCATAACAGGCCTGGCTCAGGGCGGGCGTCCGAGGGAGGCCCTCGACATTTTCCGCGAAATGCAAGAGAAAGGTATGGCC